CTCTCTCTCTCTCTCTCTCTCTCTCTCTCTCTCTCTCTCTCTCTCTATCTATCTATCTATGTCCTCACGGCCAACAATGAGTTCGATTGTGGTTCGAGCCAGCCGGACATGTTATAGGTCGCACAAATACCACTTTGTGTGAGTGTGAGTGTGTGTGTATGTGTAGGCGCGCTGGTATTAGCGCTGTCAACGGAATGCACGTGTATCGCGGTTATACCATCGACTCAGATCTCATTAAGATTTGGCGTTCTTCTGCGAAACGATTCGTTGTATAACCGGTAATAATGCGCCCTCTCCGTCACGAATGTCTCCGCTCCCCCCTGACGGTTGTTAAACTGCGATCGCGCATTATCTATTCTATACAGATTGCCGAGTGAATTATGAGCTTCAAAATTGAATTCCACGCAGTAAAAGAACACATGTATTCTCTATATTGAAACTTTAAATATTCATATTCGCAGACCAGAACAATAAGAATGTCCACGGTGGAGTATGTGTCTGGGAATTGATATTTTTATCTTAATTCCGCTCGTCAGTTAACGCAATTAACGCTGGATATCTTACGTACAGTCTTGTTGACTATTTTCTAAAAAATAACGGTTTGCAAAATTCTACGAGTCACTTAATGGATCTATTAGCTCGTTTAGATATGTGCACGGATCAAGAAGAGAGAGTCATCTCTCACACTCCACGAACCTGTACTTCACAGAAAGCTCTCTCTCTCTCTCTCTCTCTCTCTCTCTCTCTCTCTCTTCCCCCCTCTTTCTCTCCTCCCTCACTCTCAATCTCTCAACGTATACAGCGCGTTGCGTCGAGGAGACAGATAGCGCGAGGATAAACGAGGACTGTACCTCATGGCAGCCTCAAATCTGATGCTCTGATCCTGACGTTAATTAATGCCTCTGCTTGAAACGTGCAACGTGTCGGTGCACCCGCATTGGCGCCATGTGCGTTTCCGTCCGTGCGGTCCATCCACGTGCTCTCGAGAACTACGAGGACATTATTATGCGCCGGATCATGGCCGCGTGGCGATTTATGACGCACGCACGACACTTCCGACTTGTACACGACGTAGACTACTTTGTAAAGAGGATCGATGTGATCGGTTTTATCATGTCTTCGAATCCTGGAAGTCGTTGCGACGCTGGCGGCCGCTCTTAAACGTGCACCAACACTGGCTCTAACAGACGTCAGTAATAAGTTACCGGCATCTTATAACCGTACTTACTCGTTTCTGGACATTAAGGTCAGAGTTCAGAAAGTTACACTTTAAAAGTTATCCGTTTTATCCACAGAAGAAAGTAACTCGCTACAACTACTCTACTTACTAATTGTGAGAAACAGCTCGTTATCGTTACTTGAAAATTAATGAATCGTCATAATTCCCGTTAGTTTTTCGCCGAATTTCCAAGTGCTTTTTTTATGACTCGCTATCGGCTAAGTGCACGTATTCCGCGATAACATTGAACGTAATGATTATATTCGTCACCGTTATCAGTGTAATCGCGAAGACGTTGCCAAAACGAAGACGAAAAGAGAAAAGAAATAACGTTGTTATCAAATCATTCCTGAAAAAATAACTTGTACATTGAGAACAAATATTTCAGAATTTATTTATGTACGGAAAAGAAAGATTTGATTGAATTAACGAAATATCTGGTCGAACGATCCAGAAATTCAGATTGAAGTAACCCGAATTCTGTTTAAGTTAACAAGACTAACCAAACATGTCTAGTTATTTAACCAGACATGTCTTTTACTCTCTGGTTAAATAATCAGACATGTTTGACTAGTCTATCAAAAATCTTGTTAACTTAAACAAAATTCGGGTTACTTCAATCAGAATTTCTGGATCGTTCATATTCAACCAGATATTTGGTTAATTCAACCAAATCTTTTTTTTCGTGTGGGATATAAAGTTCATCGACAAGAAATGAATTTTATGTCACTGGAATAAACTTTATATTCACAAATAAATTTTCAAGCATTTTTTTCTCAGTTTAACAAATACAATGTTATAAGTATTGTAACATATTTCTTCTAAACTCCAACGTAAAGTTACCAGAACAACAAATTATAAATTTGAAAAATATCACTTTCGCTTTCTTGAGTAATTAATATTATAATTTCTTAAAATTATAATTAATAAATAAAAACGTATACGATTAAAAATCCTAATAATCTTGTTGTTAAAACTATTTTTCTGTTAATTAGCGTGTTACAGAAAATGTACAGAAAATTACAGAAAATGTACAGAGTAAATACAAGTATACGTCTCAGTGCATATATTTATTTATTTTATATATTACATATATAGAGCATGTCTTGTCATTATAAGATTAATATACGGAAAAAAGTTAACTGCAAGAATTCGTGTGTGCGTGTGCGCGTATATATATCACTAAATCTCGATATAACATGTGAATACCTAAAAGTGTCCAATGGATAGCTGCCAGTAGGCTGCGTTCAACTATGAAATCAATACAGTGGTAACAGTAGCAAAAATCTTAATTAAAACAGCAAACTTTTAATTACACATCAGCAAATATTACTTTCAGCAAACAACTTGCGGCAGTGAATTCTTTATTTTCGTGTAATCATTTTGTTATTCGCCTCACTGCTCGAGGATGCATTACTATCGACAAATGACACCGGTACTCCTCGCTATAATTGTTCATCATTTTTATTAGTTTTGCGGGGTCGGGATAGGAAAAAGGTGGAAAATGAGATTATGATATCCGGTACTTCCTATCTGCATCATAAATTTCGTGAGCGTCGTAGACAGAAGACCTGATACCGAGTCACCTTACCGACGCAGTGGGAAGATTGGAATCTGAGATCTCTATCGGGGATTCCGAGTTATAGCAGGCTTCAAAGGACGCGTATCGCATTACATTTGATCCTTTAGAGAACGCGGTCCCGCTAATTGCATTCTTCGGCTTTGAGAACACGTTGAAAACATTGCGGGCAAAACGCACGAGAGAGCGAAGATGTATACCGGTCGCACGGATGAAACGAACTTCGAGACGTTTCCTAATTTTTTTTTGGTTATTTATTTTCTTTCTGCCCAATACTAATTTGTACGACGCGGCGGGGGCGGTTGGTGAGTGGCCGTCTCGCTGACGATACCTCGAATATCGCGCTGTTTTCCATAAACCTACTGTGAATGCAGATCATTCGCGACATCCTCGCCTCAGTAGCATTAAATCAACCGACACTTCGTGAGTTAAGTGGCCTTAACTTCATTTCAAGCGCACGCTTTTAAGTAGTTTCGAGACGGTCCGCCTGGTGAACGTCTTAAAAGGAGTCAGCCTGACTCTATTAGGAAGTCGCCATATTGAATGCAGGGACTCCCTACTAGAGTCAATTTGACCCCAGTTAAGTTCAATCTTCTCTCTTCCTATTTCGCTGCTCCGCTCGCGCCGCTCCTTTTTCCCTCGTGCCACATCGGAGATGTCACGCGATGATGCGCCTTCTCCTCCCTCGGACATCATCTTCGACGTTCCCCGTCCGCGTGTTTAACACGCCGACGATCAATCACCCGGATTTTAATTACGACACGGAGGTTAACCGCCGAGTTCTGATCCACGACGACGGCACCCCTATCTCAGGATAGATAATATCGAGTCGACGAGACAGACTTACACGTGCAACTTTTTATATGCTTCCCAGGGGAGCGCAGGATCTGAAAGTATATATCATCTCAGAGAAAAACACGGCAATTATTAAGTGACAACTATACAAGTATTGTATGCAGAATTATGTACAGTTTAATAAACTATATTGTAATTAGTACAACTAAAAAAAGTTTCAATTGTTATATATATGTATATATAGATAAAATAGAATTTTTGTTTGTTCCGTATAAACACTGATCGATTTGAATCAAATTTTTTACCCTGCAGAAAATGCAGATTACGTTATGAAACCTGGATATTCCACCATCCTTTCACCCCGATTTCACCCCCTTGAGATTTTGTGATAACTCGAGCAACGCCGAACAGTTGCAGTTCCAGTTTTACATACAAAACTCATGTAGTTGTCACTTCATAGTTGCCATAATCATATATCTTTTTCTCTACATGCAGGATAACGTTAACTATCACTACCATTAATACGTTATAATTTCGTGATAATTTCGTGGAAACTTACTCATCGGTCAGTCGAAATCGCGATTCGCCTCGTGGAGTAGTCGGAAGACCGCTTGATCTAGGAAGAGGAAGTGAAAACTCCCAAGCAACTTTCGTCTGATTGTCGGTGTGTGACGTCACAAATCTCTCAGCGCTATTGACAATTAGAACCGCCTTATCGGTCGATACGACCGTATATCGGACGTCGTGATCCGTGTTATAATCAGGCAAAATTACCTCCGCCCGGGGAAGGGAAGAGATGAGGAATTGGCTGCCGTTTTAGTGCGCGAGAGATTTCTGAAGGATCGACCTGGGGCTTTCCCTTATCGATCTAATGTATCGTCCGTGTTTCGCCTCGCGCACGGAGAAAATATTACTCGGCGCTACACACACCCGCCACTCGGTGTCCTCCCCCTTCTTCCTCAGCCCCAACCCTTCATTCTCCCCTTCGCCTTCCGGCTCCGGAGTTGCCCTTCAATCCTCTCGTTCTTCATCTTCGGCGGCATCTTGGCGAAAAATTGCCGAAGAAACGACATTATTGCACGTTGTCGTGATCAATTCCCATCGACATCATCGTCCTTGTTGCACAGCATCGTCGTATTTTATTACGTACTTTATCGAATCATCGCGTATCCACTTCCCCGAGCTACCACTCGTCTTCTCCTCGCCTCTCCTCGTGTCTGGTGTACTTTCTCTGTTCTGTTCTCTCTCTGATAAATACTGCAGGAATAACTTTGTAGGAAGTATAATAGTGATCTTTGAGAATCGCAACGAATCGAAAATACATCCTTTTTGTAGCTTTTGGCCGGTAAATTATCTTCGTGCTTGTTTATCAGTTATTCTATCTCTTCCTTCCTCCTCTCTGTCGCAGTCAAACTCCCTTCGTTCGATCCCATAGTAATTTCAGCGAACAACAACACGACGGTGATCACGCGGGCAACAGCGCGGCGGCGAAAATGAAAGGAACTGCAAAAAGTTTGTTCATTCGAGCAGAAATAAATTTCATAGCCGAGATGTATACTTAAGGACGCTAATTGGACTTGAGCGAGTCCTAATGCGAGATCCGATAATTAAAGCTCGTCGTTCATTAAACGTGCCGCGATCCAACGCGCTTTTTGCAGTGTTAAAAACGCGAAAGGCCGCTGGGGTTGAAGTGACACTCGTAATTTGATGAGCGTTGGACTCGGAGTGAGTTCACTGCATATATCTGTATGAGTCGATATTCGAGAATATATTACAACGTCGAGACACGACCTCGATGAAATTTTCAAGACGGGCCCGGCGCACGAACGTGAGTCCGAACTTCGCGTTGACATTTTCGCTCGGTCGAATGTCACGCGCGTGAAATCGGCGATCGATCACGGCCGTAATGTCTCGCGAACGCGTTCGGCCTTCGGAGTATTGATAATCGCGTTAAACAAATACGTGCATGCGCTCGCGCGTACGCATCAAACCGGTGCCGATGGCAGGAAAACAAATTTTTTTCAGCAACGTGTTCGTGAAAAACGTACGGCGCCCGTGTACGCGGACAAAACGCACACAACGCGCTCCATGAATATCAACGAAATCCCACGTCGCGTCATAAAAGTACGCGTTGCGATGTCGCAATAGCGTCACGAAGCGATATTTACGCTTTTGCAATAGCATTGGATGTACGTGGCGCGGCTTTCTCTGTCATCGTGAGGACACGAAAGAGAGAGAAAGAGAGAGAGAGAGAGAGAGAGAGAGGGAGGGAGAGGGATGGAGCGGCTTCTAAATAAAGCAACAAAGAGAATATTTCCAAATTGCGCAGGGACTCACCGAGTCTCTGTAACAAAGTCCCGCTTCGTTCATTAGTTGAGATAGAAAATCGGATTTGACCTGACCCGATGCGATTACCATGCCAAAGCCTCTTCTTCCGCTACACAAGAATAGGGGCGCTCTCTATTCTCACGGGGGATCGCGGCGCGCGTCTCAATCTTTCCGCTCGTTTTCGAAGAATCACGTTTTCGCGGCCGAGACGAAAGGATTTAACGGTGGCTCTTGCGGCCTTGATGAAGCGGCCATTAGTGTTAATTATATTTCGTCGGCGGGATCCTCTCTCCCACCGCGTTGCGAATAAATCCGCGGCCGGATGTCCGTGAGAGACGTTTTTTTTCTCTCCGGTTTGCAGGGAATAATGAAATCGCGGAAACTCGATTTCTCCGTTATTATATCCGTCCAACTTTTAACTGGCATCTTTAGTACTGTTACACGATTTCACGGCTTCCCTCCGCCGCAGGCTTATCCGGGCCGACCGATTAGACTCCGCTCGATCTTGAGACTTTCTTTGATCCTGAAGAATGCTCGAGAGATTCTCAGGGCGTGCGTCCAAACTCGCGTTTACCTCCATTTTGCGTAGTCCTTCAGACGTTTTTGGAGATCTTTGAATTTTTGCGTACTATCTCAATTTTCTGGAGTGAAATTTTATTCGAAAAATAGAACGATCCCCGCGTCATTCAAATTCGACTGCTTTTCACTCCTATAGAGCGAATCTTCCGCTCTGAATCATCGAGTGAATTTCACTCTAAACTGAAGAACAGATTTGATGTATTTTACCGTCACGGAGGAACGTATTCACTCCAACGGATTGAAACGTTCGCTTATATGGAGTTAGAATCCACTCTAAGCTTGAATGAAACATTCACTCTCGCGATTTCGAGTGACAGTATTCACTGTTGCTCGGAGTTTTGAATGAGAGTCGCTCGTTTCGAATGAGATGCCACTGCAAGGAATTTTGGGAACACCGCCTGCTCCTGGAGTGGAGAGAAAATTAGGGACCACTTTTTGATTTCTCGCATTTCTGTTCTTTCCGATCGTCCAGCTCGTTGAAGCGCGCTATCGATCTCCGTTGAATCAAGACTATATGCGAATCGCAACCACCATGATAATGGTTACAATGCCCGACCACTCGGCCAACCACTTCTGCGTGGAATTACAACTGCAACGCGCGGTCGGTATGCCACACACGGATCATCAAACGTCCCACAACGTCGAACTACGCGCGCTTCGTCCCTTCAACGATATCATTTTCTGTTTACGCTCGAGATAATCGTGTTTCCACTCCAATTAATGCCCCGCGAAATTCGCGAGCCCGTGACAAATATCGGCGAAAGGAAACACACAAATCTGTCGTCCCGGCTCGCGAATATCACCCGACGTGTTATGACGTATGTGTATCGTTTATTCTTTTTCGCAAAAAAATCTCTAGGCAGAAAAAACCCCGCGAGTTCTGTCCGTTGTGAATTTTGTAGGGACGCGCGTGTCGTGACGTTATTGTTAATTAAAAGATATTTCATCACCAAAATAAGCTGAAAAGAAAAAAAGGAGAACGCGATTATTCGCTTGACCCGATTACACACATCAAACTTCACCCCGTAACAAATTATCCGCAGCATTTTATCACGAATGGAACATGCGATTATCTTATTGCGCGAGCTAAAAGAGGATTTAAAATGTTTTTATCTCCACCATTTTCAACACGTGACGCGATCGAATATCGCCCAAACTGACGTGTTAACGCAAAAAAACGAAAAAAAGAAGCATAAAAAAAAAATTACTAATGACACGGGAACTCGATATTGGCCCTTGAGCTGCCGCTGAAATAAATCCAATCTGGCCCACTTGGTATTTTTATGGAGGACAAAGCAGTCAGAATGGATCACATAGAAAATAGAATCCATCGAAGCATTGATCAAACGGGATAGAACAATGTACGCCGGGATTTCGCAAAAACTTCCAGCGCACTCACCGATTTGGCGGGCAACAAGAGCGCGGATGAAAAGAGGTAAAGGAGGACGGAGTGGGTGGTGAAGGGAACGACGGTGGGTACGAGAGAGAAAGAGACGTAAAGTGCACGTTGGATCGCGCCATTATCAATCCTGATGTATTGTCCTGTCAGGACGGAGTCAACGGCGCTGACATGACCTAGATGAAGTCGAGGGCTCTCGTGGAAAACGCAGAAAAACACGTGGCGATATTCAGACTACACTCGGATATTTATAGTCAGGGACTAAATCGAGTAGTGCGGTCGCACTCACGCATCTGTGTGTGTGTATGCGTGTGTGTGTGTGTGTTTGGTGCGCGAATGAAAATTCGCGCAGTCCCTTGACTTAATTTGTGGTCCCTTTTCGAATTTTTCTTCTTTCGTCTCTTCTTCCTCTTTTTTTTTCACTGCGGTACATATTTTACAACCGCGCAGATGTCGAGAAAGAACACTCACGAGTAAGACCACTTGTCCATCTCGCACGTGATATCCCGTAATGAGAGTTGCGAATTAGTTGGGTAGTTAACTTGCGCAATTAAAGGAATCGTTCGGTTTCTGACCTTGTCTCTGATCTCCTGTCGCATCTTCTCCCGCTCCTCTTCCATTTTACGGTGCTTCTCCTTCCTTCTCTCCTCGGCTTCCCTAATAGCCTCCTGCCTTTCCCTCTCGGCCTCTTCCTCCTTCTCCTTGTCATCCTCGTCACCTCCTTCGCCACCTACCGCTCCTACGAAACAGAAAAGAAGAAATTCGTATATCTTACATACATATATATAGGACCTCTTTGCCGCAACATGAGCGGGGCTGTATTACACACTGTGTACCTTATCTACAGTTCTGTATACATTTATTCAGCGTCCCGAAATTTCAAGATTTATCTTTCTCGCAGAGAATTTAATAATATCGTACCGCGGGAGAGACTGGCTGTGTTGTTGCTAGCGTTTATGGAACAGACAAAGCGGCTGGGAAAGAGCGAGATTTCGGGAGAAATGGGGTGGTGGGGAGGGGATAATGCGAAGGAATCTCTGGGCTCTTCGAGGAAATTAATACTACTTCTACCCCGGTGCCAATTCGCCATTCTCTCTCTCTCTCTCTCTCTCTCTCTCTCTCTCTCTCTCTCTTTCCTTTCTCCCTTTCTCTCTCTCTCTCATTCATCCACCGACCCATCCTTTCACTCATTGCCTTGGTGTTCGCGTATTTGCGCTGCTTTCCGCGAGTTGGAAAGATACTTTGAAGCCCGACGCCCGACGCCCATCTTTTTGTTTCAATTTTGTTCAGTCGCTCTTTCGTCGCCAACTAACTCCCGAGCCTTTGAAGAGCGCTGCGTACAAAGTACGCGGAGAAAATAAGCGGATCCACAGTATACTCTAGGCAATATCCCCTTTCTCGATAAAATGTGGAAACAAAATGGAATTATGAGATGGAAAAGTATCCGATTTATATCGCGCGCGAAAGTCGTCACAACTGTGTACGGTCGCGCCGTCCGTATCGATTTCGCTAATCCCGGGTTGGTGCGCGTTGCGAGAAACGCAGCGCGGGATCGACGGCTGACGGTTTTTTTATTTGCCGAATCTAGAGAAGAAAGTGTCGCGCGAGAGAGTCGGGAGGGAGGGAGAGATGTCGGGTTTGAATTTCTCGGTGGAATTTTTTTCACCAAGCCGTGAAAAAAAACCACATCGCGAAGGTACGACGCGGCATATTTGAAATTCGCGCGCGGGGCGATTTAAAATGCGTCTTGTCCGTGAAAAAGATTAATAACGAAATTCCTGCGGTTTTGTCGTCGTCGTCGTCGTTGTGCGTCCGGCACTGTCCGAACAAATTTTATTTGACAAAATGGAATTCTCCGGCGGTTATCTGAGAATTTCGCAACTTTGCCGAACGAACGAGCGATGCACGAGCGCCATTTGAGCGCGACCGCAGGGCCCTCTCCTCTGACGAATTTGAGGAAGTCTTTAGAATAATATCGGCAAGAACACTGTATATCTTAAAATATCCATTGTATACTCCGCAAGCTTCGATAAAGTTTTGATATTCACTATGCCGAAAATTATTAGTCTCTCTACACATGATTATCGCGTCTGTGGATATGATATATGATATGATATATCACGTGATACATCAAGCTGTCACACAATGATACATCAGTCGAATAATTAACATTCATAATGTACACGCGTATATACCTGATTAATTTTTATTAAGTTAATTGGACCAGTGAAATCTCCAACAGGAAAAATAAAAAGCAGTCCGTCGTTCAATCGAGTAAGAAATTTCTCCTGCTCTTTCTGTGTGATCCGTATTTTAAAAAATCACCATTATAACTGCCCGCTTTATTTCGCTTATATACAGAACTATCGAATTATATTACTTTATATGGTTGTCGTTGGATGACAAATTATAACTAGAATAATTATAGTTGAAAATTGTTGACGGTTCTGCTAGTTGATCATCACGATTAGTTAGTTTAATGTGCGCGGAAACCTCGATATTCATTTCTACCCCCGACTCGTGTTCACCGACTCGTTTCGCCATTCCGCGCGAGAATCGGGGAGAGAAGGTCTCAATTTTTATAAAAGCTCTCATACAATTTTATTCTCACGAGAGAAACACCAGCTGCATTCGCCATTAGTCGGCAACTGAGCTTTGCCGCCGTCGCCGCAGCGAACGGAAACCGAAGTCGAAGGGCTACGTGCTTTAGTTTAGTCGTGTAGACACTCAGCAGTTCTCGCGGAAACCACGTCCCGAAGTTGCCGCGGCGCGGCACGAGAAGAACTCGCGCAGCATCCTAAAAAGTCAACGCCTGTAATGGCGCAACTGCAACAGCACCGCCAACGGAATCCAATGCGGAATTGTTTGGCGCATGTTCGAATTCCAATCTTTCCGACCCCTTCTTTTCGCGCTCCTCCATCGCCAGTCTATGCACTGCTGGCTATCTGCATTACGTCACTGTGCTCATTCCCGCATCATTTCATTGCCGCGACTTCGCCTCGCGTATACGTTCCGTCGTCGCTTATCGCTTTCATTTCCATACCCACACCGGCACACAGAGGCAGAGCGAAAGAACGAAGGACAGATTGAATGACGAAAACTGATTGAATCCGCGTCGTATTATCGTCCACTCGATTTTATCATTGACCGTATATAGGACTCCCTCTCTCTTCTCACCCTCTCTGGCCGAGCCATTCGCATGCAAACGAATAATCCGCCCATTTCAGACGGTTGTCCGATTTTTTTATCTTCCTTTTTTATCTTCCTATTTTTTTTACTCGACCAAGTGGTGAAACAGCCAATACGATTCGAGAAACGCGGATGAGGTGACCATATCGATGCGGCGCCGGCGACGACGACGACGGCGGCTCGTTTGAAATCGCAGTAAACTCATTTCACAGCGCAACATCTGCGCGCGCGACAGTGATTGGACGGCGGATTGTTCGATGAAGCGGCGATTGCCGTTAGCAGCCGATGGAACGGGAAAACGAGGCAAAGGGAAGAGGACCGACTTTCTCTTGCGCGGCTTGTTACTCGCGTTCGCGCTGAAATAAAGCAGTTTCGTTCTCGGTCAGAGAGAGAACTGCTTGAAATGCAGATCCTGCTCTCGGACCAACCAACCAAGCCGATTGACTGACCCACGTACCGCGACTTCTTTGGGGTTATATCTCCGGAAGGCGTCGGATTTCAATGAAATCGGGCCATGACGGACGAAAAAACAGAGGATGGTGATGTGAATTAGCGAACGGGAGGCAGAATACACGCGAGAATATCGCGATGAACTCACTATCCACCTGTCTGTTCGTGGGAATGATCAACTGGAATGTTTATTGCAGCATAAATCATTCTCGGATATTGGCAGGGTCAAGTATTAATCCGTGTCTTGTGAATCGTGTAAGCTTATTGCGAGACTCTCCGAACTAAAATCACCAATAGAACCAGATAAATCGGATTATTTTGATAAGGGAAGTAGCGAGTAATCCAGATGCACAAGTATGAGTAAAGATACGGGTATAGGCTGGGTACCGAACTTGGCTGCAGGACTGCCACCCGGGCACAGAAATAGTGCTCGGGGTTATATAGACAGCGCTAGTGTGGGTGAATCGAACGTATGACGTACAAATTGGGGCGGATATAAGTCGAATAACGGATCACAGTCGCGGAACTCCAAATGAGCGGCGCGCGTTCCAGCGGATTTCAATGAAAAGGAGAAGATATTCTGTTCGCGGATCTCGCCGCGTAATCTATCGCGACATTGCGAGTTCGTCGCCGACTGTTCGCTATTTTTTTTTACTTTTTTTTCTGGTCACGAACGCTGCGAGGGGGCAACGGCGCATTTGTTTAACGCTCAAACGGACATTTTAATTCCGCGGCCGTTTGTAATGGAGGTCGTCGCGAGTTCGCGCGAGATGCAGATCCAATTAGATAGCAATGACAATGCCGGACAGAGCGAATGCTCGTGACATCGTGAGGGCCGCAGGTGTTCCCAACGACCAGTCTCCGTGTTCGGAAATGTATTTACTAGTAGCGATCGGACGTGGAATTCACTCATTGGGTTCTGGGACGGACTGTGTAATGCGCGTTACATCGGACGCGTTTCCAACAATCGCCCTCGTATTTCTATTATTGATCGCCGTGAATTCTTTAACGACACGCTGTATCGGCTAGGTCCGATAATACCTATTTTATGGATCAATCGCGGACGAATGGACGAAAGATTATCAATTAAACAAGAGACATGCGCGCCGAAACAGACGTAACGCGAACAGCAACTCTGTTGACGACTTCTGAAGCGATTTCCAGTTACGTAATTGAGTCGATAGACTTGTCGACAACGATGGGACTATAGACGCTGATGGTATGTCAACCCTCGGCAATCCCTGAGTCAAAGCGAAACGATTTTCCTTTCGACGTATGATGTTTCGGGTGCACACATATACGCGTGGATGTATATAATAAACAATGTACGCCGCGCTACAACTACGTGCAAGTAATACCTTTCGTTATTTTCCTACACGCGAGCTTATATTCGGTATATTCGCGATTTATGGAGCACCACACACGATAGCATCTCTTTTACTATACATATCCCTTCGGCTCAAGGATGTTTCCCCTGGCGTGCAAGTAATGCACGTGCAAGTGCACCTGTAATTCCGGAACCGTTCTATACAGGTTTGACGCGTTATCGAGCGTGGATCGACTGCTTTTCTTCTCTCTTCTTCCCTCCTCCTTCCCCTTCCCTCCGGCCCCTCTCTCTCTCTCTCTCGCAGCCGCATAATAAAGGCTGCTTGATACAAGTGCACGTCGTGAATTTATAATATTATGCCGTGCACTCGATACGCGCAACTGCACCTGAAACATTCGCGAATTTCTGTGCGCGACAACGACAGTTTTTGTTCAGTGTCGCGGAGTAATGTCAAACTAAGCGAAAGCGATCGTCACTCTATCGTAGTCTGCAATGTTCTACTTACAAAAAGAGCGTGTTGAGTGGAAACTTGAAAAGTTTCAAAATTGTCTCCAATTTAGTGAAATTATTTCTGCCTTTTTTTCACGATGCAAATCGATTATTACACACGTATACACACACTCTCTCTTTCTCATTCAATGCACGCTGCATTGCTGACTTTGTTCCACGAGAACTGTTATCGCACACACGGAGAAGCTATTGCAGTAAAAATTGCAACCAAATTTTGGTTACCTTGGACCGTATAAAATTATAAACGAAATTTCTATACATTT